TTTGTTTATTTCATTTTCTTTTTCTCTTTTGTTCACATAATTTCACTTAATAAAAGTGCAGATACAGTGTATTGTCTTTCTCTTAAGAAAGTGAGAATTGAGCAACTGTATTTCAGTTGTGAAAAAATTTAAACTATCGTGGGTGGATTTTTTTAAAGGTCGTGGGGCACTGCCCTACCACCCACGGATTCCTGGTTACTCCACTACTCCCCAAATCGTTAGTTTCCACTAAAACTGCTGAAACTTTCATAAATGACATGGTTTTGTACTCTAATTTCGTCGATGAAAACAAAAAGATTTCTAAAGTGTTGCGGTCAATGTTGTGGTTTTTGCAAATAGTCTTTTATTATTTGCGAGTTAAGTATTAATGACCTCATTGTGAACAGTCCATGCCACGAGTGTAAAACACTAACTAATTTACCAGGTTCAATGGAGATTCCAGAACCACTAAGATCAGAAAAGCCAGGAAGACTAAACCTTAATCATTTTGATTCTTCATAAACGTCGCATAGATTGCCATCATATAATTGATGCAATCGTTGTTGAAATGTATCACCTAATGTTTCTGATATATTGTCATTCAAAATACCAGCTTTCGAATAACCAACAATATTTGGCATCGCTATATCAGGTCCAAATATATTAATAAATTCTTCATGTTTAACTAATACACCCAAATAATCTTCTCTATGTGCTTCTCTGCTTTTGTTTACAAAACCAATATAATACAAATGTTCAATATCTTTTAAGGGGGCTTTGGTCAAATCCAAATCTGATTATATTGCCATATAATGAGGAGAATTAATGTCACATTTTAGCACGGCTAAATCATTGCAAAAATCAATAACTTCTATTGTTGGATTACAAACTGTAGGACCAGTTGGGTATAATTTTAAAGATATTAATAGTTGTTTTAAATCACCTAAAAAAATTGAATAAATCATAGAAGACAATTAGATTACCCAGGTTGTTTTCTTACCAAGCACAACTGGTGTTAAATCAAACTGCAAAAATGACAAGAGCAGACTAAGGTAGTTTATATCTACTAGTAGTCTCAAGAAGCCACTCACCATGAATTTCTTCTGAGCATTTTGCCATCCAACTTCTAAAAGTTGCAATTTGATCAAGTGACACAGTGGGCATTTTTTGCTAGAGCAGGCGGACTTTACCTTTATGAGTGAACTAAAATTTCATGAACCATTTTTTTATAGGTTTTTCATGATCGTCTTTCTAATGGCATGAGAGTTGGGTTTTGAAAAAGTTTTCTATTGAGTTTTCCAGAGATCCGGTCTCTGTAAAATCCTTCAGAAAACTTTCTCAATATTTAAAAAACGATGCCACTGGAAAGAGCATTGTAGAAAACCTATAAAAAACATGTTTCGAGTCGTTCAGGTTACTTTATCTTGAAATTCAAATTTTCAGCACGAAATTGTTTGTGTGAATCTCAAAAAATTCAGAAAGGACGGGGGACGATNAAAATCCTTTCCAACGCCCCTGGAAGCCTTTTGCCAAACTAAAACCTTCTTGCTTTAAACGAAATTGCCCAAAGCAATTTAATTCGCCTAACTCTTTCCCCTACAGGAAGTATCAACTAGTATACATCATTCGATAGAGAATTTCACGGGCAACAAAACAGTCTATAAGACCATCAGAACAAATTGAAATTCCGTCGCCTGAAATTCGAAATACCCGGTAACACCTCAGCAAAATCGGCGGGCCAAGGTCGTTCATCTCAAAAACGTTACCTTATACGTCCATACCCAGTCTACTTCATATACCATTCGATAGATAATTTAACGGGCTACAAAATGATATATGACACAACCTTAAGAAGTTGTGTCGGGGTAAGGCCAAGATTCGAAATACTCGGTAGCATATGAGCAAACTGGTGTGTCAAGGTCATTTATGTCAAAAAAGCTCCGTTATTCGATCGTTAACCACTCTACTTCATATACGATTCGATAGAGAATGTCACGGGCTACAAAATGATATATGACACAACCTTAAGAAGTTGTGTCGGGGTAAGGCCAAGATTCGAAATACTCGGTAGCATATGAGCAAACTGGCGTGTGAAGGTCATTCATGTTAATTGTTTTTTTTTTGTGTGTGTTAGAACGATGCTTTATGTGCAATTCCATAGAGTATTTCATAAGCTGCAATATGATATAGAAGATAGACACTAGAAAATTTTAACGTGCTCGTTATGAGCGATTTTATTCGATGGAGAAAGATTTGAGTGATTTTTTTTGTTTTTTGATCATATGTCGTCGAGGGAGGAATATACGGTATTACTGTCGAAGGGTAGAGAAGGACGATTGATAGAATATGATTACAAATAAAGAAGTGTATTTTTAAAAATATTGATACAATAGTGTACGAAAGTTCAGGCATACACACAGAGAAGGAGAAAAGTATTTCTATCGAGAAATAAAATGTCAGGGAGTGATAGAGAACAATAGAAGATATTATTTTTCTTCTTTAATGCTTTTTGCTGTAGAAATGTAATCTACTACTGCGAGATATATACATGAAAAGTTTTGTTTCGA